TACAAAACATTACACAGAAATTTCAAAGTAAGTTCAGAATTAAATACTATAATTTAAATAAGAAACACAATATTTAAAAGTTTATAACAACTATAGTATGGCCCATACCTTGAGATTGAGGAGGATCTGGATCTGGGGACATGTGTGGAGAGGAGGGATGGAGAGAGAGTCATTGTTTGGAAGGAGAATCCCCTTCCATCAAATCAACCGGTAGCTGCTTTTCAGTTTTTGACTTTCTTTATCTTTTTTCACTAGGACTTGGCTGGCTTTCTCTAATTAAAAAAAAAAAATCTAATGTGGTTTGCTGTTGATGTTTCCTTAACTGTTTTCTGAAAGGGCTTACTAAATTATCATCAACGATATTGACAACGAGGTTAACCAGTTCCTTATCTTGATGAATCCTTTCCAAAAACTCTTTCTTAGGACCTTTTTTTTGGTCTAAAAACAGTACAAAAAGCCAGGGAAGGTGAGGGAGAAAGGGGGAACAGATTACAAGGATCTACATATAACCTCCCTGGGGGACGGACAGCGGAGAAGTGGGGATAAGGCGATGCCGGAAGGTGTAAGATATGACAAAATAATAATAATTTATAAATTATCAAGGGTTCATGGCGGAGGGGGGAGCAGGGAGGGAAGGGGGAAAGTGAGGAGATGATATCAAGGGCTCAAGTAGAAAGCAAACGTTTTGAGAATGATGAGGGAAACAAATGTACAAAAGTGCTTGACACGATGGATGGATATATGGATTTTGATAAGAGTTGTATGACCCCCAATAAAATGATTACAAAAACACAAACAGAAAATTATAGCAAAACACTTGGAACACAGGTGCAAAAGGTTTAATCAACGTGCACTAACAAGGCCAACTAAGGCCGAGCAACCGAAACAGGAACTGCTTTTGTGTACAACAATCACGTGCATTGGGTCAGATGCTGGTGTTTTGTTCAAGCTCTGATGCAAAATATTCTCGACATTTGGTCATCTCGAAATCTGGTCATGTTGAGTCCTGCTATGGTTGAGTACCGGGTGCTACTGCAGAACTGCTCCTTAAGGTTTTCAAATGTGGTCCATGATCAGCAGCGTCTGCCTCCGTCGGAAGTTTACAAGAAATGCATAAGCTTGGGCCTCACCCAACATCCACTGACACCATCATTGAGGCAGAAAATAGGTCACGAAGCTGGATTTTAAAAATATCTCCCAGTGACTCAGTGCATGCAAAAGGTTGAGAAATGCAGATAGCATAAATGATCCTCTCTCTATTAATGGATTTGTGATGACCAGTGGAGGGCCACCGACTCCATGGATATTGAAGACCATTTCTAGAAATTAGGGTAGAATGATTGGCATTTCCTCCTTGTGTGATAGCCAGGCCAGCCAGTCAGAGATGTGACTCAGTGGGTAGCTTCCGGGGGTCACAAACAGAAAGCCAGATTCCAGAGCACATCAGCTGATTGGGAATGCCAAGGGTGGTAAACAAGGGGGCAAAATGTTTCCTCAAGTTCAAGGAATAAGTCTGAGGCTAGACAAAGAAAAATGTCTAAGTGGAAACCCAAGCGCATTCTGATTAATAGAGCTTGTGAAGGCTGCCGTGAAAAGTCGTTTTCATTGAGTTTTATTTTATTAAGCCGTGGCAAATGGGTAAGAAGGCCCCCAAAAGGCATACAGCCAGCTGAGGTGGGCAAGAGAAGTGTTTTGTGTTTGGGCTTTGCCGTCTACCCTGAGTAGCCATGACGGCCCTCCACCTTTGATTGAAATAGCTACCACAGGACTATTTTCAAAAGATGACTCTCTCCCTGGGCCGAAGTACTCAAAGAATACAAAGGCCATAGTTGATTCAAATTTAAGATATGACAGTGTGAAAAAACACAATCCTCAACCCAATGAGAAGGTCATTCTAATTTTACACTCATAGATATACTGTAACCCGATTCAGGTTCACATGCAGTACTAGAAACAAATTTTACCTTGTGAGAACAACAACCTTGACAACTTAAGAACCTGCAGCCCGTTGACAGA